AATCAATATACGCTGATCATATACCTATCAGAAGTAAATCGTATTTTGAAGACAATTTTACAAATATAATAAAAAGGAATACAACTTAATCATTCGGCATCATTCATTTCAAAACTGAGAAAATATCTATTCAAAATCAAGACATTGCAGAATGTATAGTACATGCAGTGAAAGCGCTTGCAGAGTTGTTCAAAATGGTGCAAAACAAACAAAATATCTCTGATATCTGATGGAATAACAGAAATAGTTATTTATTATACAAGGGCAAAAAGTAGAATATTTTAGCTCCAGGTTGTGTTGACAAAAAACCGTGAGCTTAAATCTAATATTTTTCCCGTGTATAATACACTATTTTTTTCTGTGACAGAAGAAAGGACGAATCAATATTGAAAAGATATCACATTATTTTGAAATCTGAAAATTATCGACGTGAAATTTTAAGTTTTTAACAGTGGGGACGCCTGTGTTGTAGGCATCTTTATCATTCGTTTGAAGTAATCAAATATCTGATGTCACTTCTGTCAGTCTAATTCTGTGATTTGATTTAAAAAAATTGGGAATTTACCATTTTAGCATTTGATGAAGCGAAAAAAATTACATAAAAAAGTACACCTATTCAAATACAAAAAATTCAACCGTTTCCGAAATATCTGAGTTTTTGTAGTTACATGTCAGCAGATTAATCGAAAGGGCCTCAGTATGAGATTGCTATATATCACATTACATTGAACATTTCACACATTTTCGACCAATTAAAAGCCTGTATTATGTATGGTTACCATCGCAATCAAACAAATTATACTACATATACTTTATGGATTGAGTGTTGTTTTTTACTGTGTAGAAATCATAATTATAAATTAATGAACGTCTTCCGAACCGAGAAAAATCTAACTCAACAAATGGGGTTTCCAATACGGGACTTTCTTCATCTTCATCATGCTTTCTCTTCAATTATGCACAGCACTCACCTCGTGAAATTCTTGGCCATAGTTAGTTTCAACAAGATGCTCGCTCGGTTGACCTGTTCTTTGAAATCCGATCTTTGGTTGTAATAAAAATTTGCGACAATCGCGGGCTACTGTGACCAACAGGTGAGTGATATACAAAAAAATAGTAGGTAGTTCAAAAAACTAAAGTAACACTCTTTTATACAAGGTGTATCACAAGAACGTACCATAAATTCTACAGGGTGAACTGGCACGAAACCAGACTTGATTGAAATCGACTACTTCTATACAAAAATGCACCATTGAGCCGTGAGAGATTTTACTGAATATTTCGAAATCCTTGAAAGGTACTGCTCTAAAATTCGTGGGGTAATTTACAATCACGAATGTGGATGGAAACCATGTCAGACCAATTCAATCAATATACAGGGTGTAAATTTGAAAACTTTCAATGCGAATATCTCGCTAAATAAAACAGTTAGGAAAACGCCGTTTGGCACAAATGCTACAGAGTTACGGGGAACTAGAACTACCATAATTAAGTAAAGGGATGAATCGCCCTGTCAGCGCAACACACCCCAACTTTGAAATGTCAAATGGCACTACCTCTTTTGTGATACCTCAAATGAACGGTTTCAGTCAGTAGAGTATTCACCTGTACAAGACTTTTTTTCCACCCACTACAGGGTGTACGAAAAACATTAATTCGAGGGTCTAAATTCGAAAACTTTCAATGCGAATATCTCGCTAAATATAACAGTTAGGAAAACGCCGTTTGGCACAAATGCTACAGAGTTAGGGGGAACTAGAACTACCATAATTCAGTAAAGGGATGAGTCGCTCCGTCGGCGCGACACACTCCATCTTTGAAATGTCAAATGGCACTACCTCTTTTGTGATACCTCAAATGAACGGTCTCAGTCAGTAGTATTCACCTGTAGAAGACTTATTTTCCACCCACTACAGGGTGAACGGAAAACATAAAGTCGCGAATAAAATAAAATGCAGAATGCCGATATATTCCAAGAGATGTGTTCCAAAATGTTAGAATGGCATTTGAACATCGATTATACTATTGCTTACAACAGAATGGAATGCATTTTGAACATCTGATCAAATAAAATATCCTTTTAACACAATTCATTTTATTTTATTCGACTTTATATTTTTCGTACACCCTGTAGTGGGTGGAAAAGAAGTCTTGTACAGGTGAATACTACTGAATGAGACTGTTCATTTGAGGCATCACAAAAAAGGTAGTGCCATTTGACATTTCAAAGTTGGGGTGTATCGCACCGACGGGGTGACTCATCCCTTGACCGAAATATGGTGGTTCTAGTTCCACTTAACTCTTTAGCATTTTTGCCAAACGGCGTTTTCCTAACTTTTTTCTTTCTTTATATTCCCTTCGATGACAATTGATGGTACTTTTTTTCGAACTGCAGTTTTTTTTTATATTCTTTCTTGGTTTTCGAGACTTCAACCAAAATTAATTTTAGTGCTTCTGCATATTTGTTCATGTTGTGTCAGTACATTCCCAAGGACGTCCCTAATTTTATACTAGGACTTCCCAGCGATATCCTCTGTCGGGACAAAGATCATACTAGGACGCAGGATTTCTCTGAAAATTTCGCATCTTACTTTTTATTACCTGTTCTATCGATCTAAAATATTCTCGAAATTTGCCGTTGCCGTTTCTATCAGAAAGTCCTAGCAACTTCATTTTTTTAAATGGAATATCCAGGAGCATCCATTCTTAGTGCAGAAAAAGATATGGGTGTATCACATGCTTCAGTACAAAGAATTTTGGGAAATCACAAAATGCATCCGTATAAATTCAGTGAAGTTCAAGCTCTCAATGAAGAAGACTTCGAGCGGAGAGTGCATTTTTGCGAAGCCCTTTTAATGCATACCCAGGAGGATCCGGAAATAATTTGGAGCGACGGATTAAAATTCACGAGGGATGGGATTTTCAATAGGAGAAATAAGCATTTTTGGAATGATCATAAGCCTCATATTACAGAAGAAATGGGTTTCTAGTAAAATTTGGCACACTGAATGCTGAGAGATATATTCAAATATTGAGGACGACTGTGACAGATTTCCTCGACAATTTGCCTTTAGAGGAATATAGGAATTCATGGTTCCAACTGGACGGGGCGCCAGCTCATTCAACTCAGGAAGTTTTCAGGAAACTTTACGAAATGTTTGAAGATCGTTGGTTTGACCGTTTAGGTCCGTGGGACTGGCCACCGAGATCACCTGACCTCCCGCCTCTTGACTTTTTTTTATAGGGTGTTTTAATTGGTAGATTTCAATGCAAACGAAACACAAGCATGCCAAACATAAGCATGTCAGGAGTAACCATACCTTTGAAGACATTCATTTCGATGTTTGGTATTACTATCAGCAATAACCTTGCATCTCAAAAACTTGGTTTTCTGTTTCGGGCCAGAGGCTATTTCACTTCCAGTCAGCTGCTTATGATCTATAAGGCACAGATACGACCTGTCCTGGAATACTGCTCCCATATTTGGAGTGCGGCACCCAAACATACCCTGAAACTGTTGGATTCTGTCCAAAAAAGGGCAATTCGTCTCGTGGGTGATGCCTCGCTCACAAACTCACTCACTTCTCTAGAACACCGTAGAAAAGTTGTTCTTTCGCTCTGCCTGATAATTTGTTGATGACTCCTTGTGGAAGTAGCACATTTTGAAGAGAATTTATGTTGGTTGGGTCGAAATAGAGATAATAATTATTTATGTAGACGCCACTTTGATAAAATCGTGCGTTAGGCTTTCCATCGTACTTTGGTAGAATGCACAGGTTCTTGACGTCAAATACAGGTCTCGCCATTATATTATTTTCAGAAATTGTCAATATTTCACGAAATAAATCACTCAAATCTGAATTTCCACTGGTTTCAATTCCAGGATTAGGAAATGAGGAGTCTGACATAAAAATAGGTACTCACAGTAAGATGATTATGATGATTAAGATCATTCCTTCTTCTGATGTCCTTCTGTTGCTGATCCTTGTTGGTCAGCGTAGTTGGGACGAGGTTCACAAGAATCGCGAAGAAACGTTAAAAAACGACGAGGATCTTTTCAAAAAGCCTCCTTTGCGATCATACCGACTGTGCCAGTTGAAGTTTCAAATCGGAAAACCTTCTTTTTAAGAAGATTCATTCAAATAAAAAATTAACAAAATGAAATTTAGAAACCAAGAATTATAAAGTAAGACTGAATTCAGAATGTGTGAAAATGTTTGAGTCAAGTTAGCAGAGTCAGTATTTTGTCGTTCGTTTCCAACATATGGCAGAGTGGAATAATATCAAAATCATAGAAAAGGAAGATAACAACAACAACAAAAATCAAGGAATCCGCTTGCATTCTTCTGAACGGAGACAATAGCATTGCTTCCTGTTCAGTTGATATAGATAGAACTTGGTATTCACTACTGAAAACTGGAAATGAAAATGGTAGATTCAAGATCAATCAATAAAAACATCCTGTAACTCATTTGTAGACTAAAATCACTCATTCATATGCCAACATCAGTATGACACTGCGAATTGTCAAACTATAAGCAGAGCACAACTTCCAAAGAAAAATATTTTGCATTTTCATGTTGAGAATGGGAGCAGATTCTTTCCCGAAACGTCCAAAGATAAGTAAAATTCGATATTTTTTCAATATATCTATATTTCTTTCCTTCCTTCCTGTTTTCACACGAAGTGTCACTGACGATCTACTTCTTCTTTTAGGCTTCCTGAAAGAAAAATTTGTTAAACATAGTGACATTTTGGGGCAAATCATCTGATTTGTCTCACTTCAAATATATTGAAATAATACGCATATTTTTATTTTAGAAACGAGGAGAGAAAATCCCAAAAAATCAAGTGAAATGAATGTACCACCTCTTCGATTAACCTACAGACAGTATTTAACTATGTTATTCTGAGAATAATGATCCTAATGCTCCTGTTCCCATCATTTTTGAAATTGAAATAATGATAATTCTAGCCACCCTTTCCACTGATTTTTCCAGCTGACACAATGTCCTCTTCCCCGAACATGTTCCATTTCAACGATTTCAACAACAACTACATCGAAGATCCCGATTACATTCGGGACCACATAGGGGACTTCTACAAGGATACATGCATTTTCGTGACCGGAGCTACGGGGTTCGTCGGAAAGGCGCTGGTGGATAAACTTCTGAGGTCCTGTTCCGGACTGAACAGCATCTACCTGTTGATGAGGCCAAAAAAGGGAAGGGCTATCGAGGAGAGATTGAAGGAACTGTTGGACAATCCTGTAAGTACACATGCGTAGTCGTCCCCCAATAATTTGAGGGGGGGGGGCAATTTGGAACAGAAGGGAACAATTTTTAATTTCGCTGCAAACACTCATTGATTTATTTTACTCATTTCACCTTATCTATTAGAAGGATAGGGCTTGTGCGAGTTAAAGTGACAGGATCTTTAGTTTAATGAAGTGGAATCCAAACCACTATGACATTTAGGTTCCATTCCATATGATATGCCATATGCACAGGGTATAATCAAACCCAAATCTAAGAAGCACCAAGCTCAGGAACCGAACCCATAACCTCTTGATTACAAGTATGAACTGGTGACCTGCTCGCTTACGTCTCACATGAATGACAGCAATCTATTGAAAAATATGGTGGAACCTTAGCCGTGGCACTTGATATCTCAGAGGCATTCGATCAAGTCTGGCACCACGGACTCTTCGCCAAGCTTCCTTCTTATGGTTTGCCTCCCCAGCTATGTTCTCTGCTAGCTAGTTTTCTCTCAAATAGGTCTCCATGTAGTGGTCGACGGAGTTTCATCTGCCTCTCTTATCATAAATGCTGGTGTTCCGCAAGGATCAATTTTAGCACCAACACTATTTCTACTCCATATCAACGATTTGTTCGAAGCAACTTCATGTCCAGTACACAGCTTCGCGGATGATAGTACCCTCCATACCGCCTTCTCTTTCAGGGCTCCAATACCAGCCAGGCAAATCAGAAACGATCAAGGAAGAAATGTTGACCATATGAATATGGACCTGACAACAATTCTCCAATGGGGATCCAATAACTTGGTAGATTTCAACGCAAACAAAACACATGCATGCCTTTTCTCTAGAAAAGCCGATCTCACTGTGCCCAACATAAGCTTGTCAGGAATAACCATACCTTTCTTGGAAAAATCACGTGAGATCAATTGCTGAAAGTGCATCCCCAAAACTTGGTTTTCTGTTTCGGGCCAGGAGCTATATCAGTTCCAGTCCTGAAACTGTTGAATTCTGTCAAAAAAGGGCAATTCGTCTCGTGGGTGATGCCTCGCTCACAAACTCACTCACTTCTCTGGAACACCGTAGAAAAGTTGGCGATCTGGCTCTATTTTATGGATATTTCCATGGACGATGCTCTTCTGAAATATCAACAATTGTTCCTCCCTTGGCAGTCCCCGCGAGATTAACTCGTCGAGTTCAGGTTTCGCACCCCTTCGTGCTCACTTTGGGGACCTGCAGAACAGTTAATTCCAGTTAATTCCGAGATCCAGCATACATTCGGTTAATATAAGACATCCCAATGCATTAACGATGCCTCATCATTCGACCGCCATTTATCAAAGAAGTTTCACATATACTTAATGCGATCAAGTTGTTCAATTCAATCCCAGACCGCATTAAAAGCCTTGGTCCATTCTCCTTCCGAAAGTTCATTAAACATGAGCTACTTTCTTCACAATGAGTATTGTTACGATCTTCAATATGAATATTATGCACACATCCTCTTTTTTTTTCTCTCTAAGTAATGTAGACTCACCTTCCCAATTGGACAGTGAGAGGTTAGATGTAAGAGTAGCCTTAGGCTGAATCTTGCCTCCTGCTGGACAGTAAACAGTGAACAATGTTTTTCTTCTTTGTACAAATGTTTGTACAAATCTTTATATATTTTTTTGTATTATGGAATCACATAAATAAACACGATTTATTATTATTATTATTATTATTATCTCTTTTCAAAGACTTGTTCATCCAACTAACAGCGAAGCTCTGGAACAAGGGAGGTGTTCTCCGAGGCATATAACCCCCAGAAATTCAAGAAGAACACCAATTCCTACCATATTTCCCTTGGTTCTGGGACGACATTGAATATTGCTCAAACTTTGTTGTATGCATATTTTTCGACAATTCATTCACGGATCATTTTCCTATTTTCCGCGCCTCTATGAGATTGTTTGGTGAAAAGAAAGTTGTTGAAAATTGACAACGTTTTGCATAAGATCTGTGTAAAAATATTTTTAAATCGATTTCACTCGAATGATAAATACATCTGATCGATACGGAACAAGAGAACCTTTTTGTGTGAAACAGTGTCGATTTTGTATAATCCGGGTTTAGATTGTCGAAAAATATGCATACAGAAGAGAAGTTTAAACAATATTAAATGTAGTCGCACCCATTTCCACTGTATTGGTCATGGCATGTTTAGTTCTTGTACAGAATTGCATTTCATCACATGACGTTTCGGAAATATTCAAGAAATATCTCATCCTCAGGAGCTCTCTCTCAGGGAGCCGTAGCTCCATTAGAAGACATTTTTCGACTCAAGCTCATCAGAGCTTTTCTTACTATTTGTTCGTAGAAGCCACTGGTGAAGTTTGGCAGGCTAATTTCTTCCTCTTAGCCATTTTTCTACGCGCTTCAATGTAGAAAATGACCTTCTTGCTGTGCCGGCGTTTCTAGGAGGATTGCCAAAATGTTCAATGAAATATTGATATCAGGATACAAGTCATTGTAACAAACTTCAATTGTAGAAAGGACTCAACTGGCAACGTTTGAGCTATTTTCTGCGAACTCTCCCCTCTACTTTAAAATCCATTGCTGATACTCTATAACGACAGAAGTAGCAGAAGCTTCCATGATGAGTATAGAACTCTGTTGCCTTCTTTACATTCATAATGTCATCTTCAGTGTCTTCTGATTTTGGCATGAAAATGTTTAAGCCAAACAGGTTTAAAGTATCTTCAGGAAGGCGGTTTAGATCATTCATTGTTCAATGACATTCGAGTAACGCAAGTAGCAAAATAATCCTTTCCAGGTTTTCAGTAGTATCAAAAAGAGGAATCCAGATATTTTGAATCGAATAAAAGCAGTAGCAGGTGATATTACCTTACCAAATCTAGGAATCAGTGCCAAGGAATACCAAATGTTAATAGAAAGAATCAACGTTGTTTTTCATTCAGCTGCAACAGTCAGGTGAGTCAGAAAAAATAACTGCCTCATGGTGAATTTATTCAAGATTTGTAATTTCACACGTGATCTCTACTCTCTACAACTATAGAGGAATAAAAATATTCGAGGTGTCACATTAAAAGTTCAAAAGTTGGTAACAAGGTTACAAAGAACCTCTATATCTCCCAACGTTTTCGACAAGATTGTTTCCCCGATTACTACAGAGAGTAATTAACCATTTTTCGATTTTGGGATAATAATAATATTTATGAAGGTTTTAATATATTCAGAACACTCTGTAAATCTCTATCAAAGAAATGTTGAATATATTAAAATTGTTTGTTACAGATTTGACGAAGAACTGAGGAATGCCTTCATTCACAATACTTTGGGTACGAAAAAAGTTCTGGAAATGTGCAACAAAATGCAACAGCTCAAAGTAAGTGGAAAATCCTCTGTAGCTTTTAGTTAATGGAGTGGCGCATACAACTTGACAGATGTTTCATCATTATTCTTTGACATCAGAATCTTGAAAAGTGTTCTAGACACACCTAGTTTACTCCTGTTTTATCATGCTCAGGTTCAATCAAGAATCTGCTACGCAATCACAATATGGGGAAACTCTCCAGCAGCGAAAGATGTATTCATCGCACATAAGCGAATAATACGTTCTTTTGCAAACGTCTCCCAGCAGGCTTCATGTCGAGATATTTTCAAGAACCTTGAAATTCTCCCACTTCCTGGTCTTTATATTTTGGAAGTTTCAACATACATCCACGCGAATAAAAATTTATTTTCCACGAATAATCAACACCACAATTACCACAATTATCACCATCTGCCAAAAATCACTAAACGTGATAGGACTGAGATTATACAATGTACTTCCCAGTGAGCTCATAGAAATTGAACAAGTGCATATTTTCAGAAAAAAAACCAAACGTTTTTTACTGGGTATCACTCCATACAACCTTCACGAATACTTCGAACATTTTTGATGTATGATTTTCAATAATTTTATTTTATTGTTATGAAGAATAATTTACCTGAAATTTATCATCGATAATTATTATTGTTCAGATATTTTCTCATTTTCTTTCAATCTACATTCCTATTGTTTGTTAACTTTTAAGAAACATTTTATTTATACACATGTACTTTGTGCTGACCTGTCCTATAGCTTTATACGCTCGTATTTGGATCAATAAAACTATCTATCAATGTATCTTTCTATTTAAATATTCACCTCCATTTTGAGGCATCTTTATTGAAGTCCGAATTCGAAATACAATTTGAATACAAAAAAATGAAAGTCTCCAAAATTAAATATTATTGGAGTCAAATTAGGTGAACTATAACTGAAATGTTCTGTGAAATAAAGGGGATGGGGTGGTCCCAAAATTTTGAGATGATTTCATTTTCACTGCATTCGGCATGAAAATTTTAATTCTTGTACCAAATTGCATCTTTTTATCACATGGAGTTTCGGTTATACTTAATAAGGAACTTATCCATCTTCAGGAGCCCCCTTTTAGGTGGCCGTAGTTTCCTTAGGAGACATTTCTCGACTTATGTTCATCGAGAGTTTTCTTTCTATTTTTGGTAGTAAAAGCCGCTGGTGAAGTTGAGCAGGTTAATTACGAGACACCCTATATAAGTATCCCGTATATAAGGACATCGGAAATGTGACAGCCTGTATACAGTGTACAGAATGCCGTTATAGGAGGAATAGTTTATAATGTTATAACTTGGAATTGCATTCTTCAATTGAATGGTTCTGTCGATTCTAAACTTTGATATGTACAAAAAATATTCCTGTAGTTTTCGCTATTCTGAACCGTTTCACCAACTCATTTTTTCTTCAATTAAAAAAATTGGGATCATAAAGTGGGATGTAACAGTGGGTGAAACACGCTGTATATCGAAATGGTATCGATTACACATTATCTACACACATAAAATGTATATTCTCGATTCGTATTACTGATGGAACACGTAACATCCTGTATATTTACTGCTTACGAATGTTTTCAGAGCTTCGTGTACGTATCCACCGCTTACAGTAATTCTGATAAGGAAAATATCGACGAATCTGTTTATGAACTGCCCTTTGATTACGAAACTATTATGAATTCTATTGAAATGCTACCCCAGGAAGCAGCAGAGGTCCTATCAAAAAAATTACTGGTAAGTGAATCTATAAAACCTCAAATATAATCGAATTTCAAATACCTATTTGCTTAGGCAAAGTTTCGATTCATAGCTTTTTCTTCATTCAACCATCACAATCATTACAAAATCCAGAGATTCGAGTTTTGAGTTACACAGGAGAAAGTTTGAGAACTAGTATCTATATTATTTTATACAAATGCCCGACTCAAGTCCGTTTCCCTCTCGCACTAGTTTTCGAATCACCTGGTATATCGCAAAGAAATTTGGAGAGCTCGATTAGGAGATGAAAACCTCTACCTTTCTATGGGAAAATGGCAGTTTGAAATCTTGAAACGGCAGCTGAGCGCCATTTTGAATTATTATTTTATATTGTTTCTGAATCTACTCATAATTCATGACAGTTTCAAACAATATACTTCACTTCGAAATTCAATAGTTCTCGAAATATTAACGTTTGAAAAGTGGCATTATATTAAACCCAATCAAAATTTCAGTTGTACTAGCTATTAAAGTACTAATTTTGTTTTGAGGTTGGTAATATCATACCAACTAATAAGTGGCAAGTTCGCAACTCTGAATGAAATGTGAAATGTCATATTTCATAAAAAAGCATAAAAATATCAAGTAAGTATGTAAAAAGTTCGAGAAAAACAAGTTGTTATGTTGTTATAAACAAAAATAAGGAATAGTTTGAGAGTTTTTTCAACAGCAAAAACACAAGTTTCTTTTATCGGATAAATTTTTCTTGGTAACGAAAAACATTAGCAAATCAGTAATTTCACGAGAAAAACTGACATAAAAAAATTGCGAGACCGTAGGTCGAGCAATTTTGTCTAATGTTAGTTTTTCGAGAGAAATAACTGATGAAAAATGTTTGAGTTAGTGAGGAAATTCATCCAATTAAGAAAAAATTCAAGTGTTTTTTGGCAAGATAAATCAACGACAATATACAAATGAACAACAATAATGATTACCTTTATTGTTGATTCCGTGTAACTTGTAGTTTGCGGAATTGAATTTTTCATATTTTTGTGGTTTCGTCAGACGAAATTTTACTAAAACGGCTCATCTTGCTTGTCAAAATGACTCACGTCATCGTCAAATAGCGTTTTCCGTGTAGGTGTTGATCTATCAAAATAAAAACTTATGAAAAAAAGGGGAAAGAGCATATTTCAATACAAAAGTGCAAATAGCACATCAATCTTGAACATTTCGAGTTCTTGGTTGGGTTTGCAATTACCAAAATGTAACTTTTCAAACGTTAATATTTCAAAAACAATAGAATTTAGGAGGAAGAGTATCAGATTAAACTGTTGAGAATTATGAGATTCCAGACATGGAATAATATACGGTGTTCCATTTATTGTAAAAAATAAGTCATGATGGCGCTCAGCCGCCATTTCAAAACTTCCAGCTGTCATTTTTCCATTAAAAGGTAGTATTTCATCTCCTTTTTAACCCCTTCCGTTACGATATCGTATATATATACCAGGTAGTTCAAAAATTAGTAGGGGGCGGAAACGGACTTTTGACGGGCACTGGATGACGTCGAATACTTCTACAATGTTAATGATACACACTCACCTTGTGATATTTTTTTGTTATTTCAGGGAAGGCATCCTAATACCTATACTTTGACGAAAGCCATGGCAGAACATATCGTGCTAAAGCATTCGGACTTGATCCCGTCTGCTATAGTTAGACCTTCAATCAGTAAGTGAATCTGGAAAGACATACTATGCAAATGTTAGGTTACACGGAAAAAAAAGTTTTGTTGCACCAATAAAGTAATTTTGGTCTTCCTTCTTTGTTGAATTAAACACAATTTTGCGAAATTAATAAGATATATGTTCATTCCAAATTAGCGACTCATTCAAAAAGGCAAAATAATTTGATTGAAATATTTGCTTACTTGAACAAAACTTTCATTTCATTCAACAACATTCATAGTTGACATAAAACAAATTTTGTTGATTCAACTATCATCTCATTGTTCAATCAATCATATGCATCTTGTCTATTCGACGAAATAATATAAATTTTGACAATTATTCAACTAAGTACAACATCATAATATTTTGTTGATTCAAGAATCATTTCATTGTGCAACCAATCGAAGGTTTTTTTCTATTCGACAAAAATGGAATTGATCATGACAACATTATATTTCGATGATTCAACACATCATTATCAAGAAATATGTTGTTATTTCAAACAAATTAATTTGTTGAACAGAACCCACCGATACATTGAATCAAACAAATATTTTGTTGAATGATTATCTAGTTGCATTTTCGCCACCAGGAATTGTTTCATTGAATGAAAAAAGTATTTTGTTATATTCAGAATATACATTGTTATTTTAACATATTCACTCTCTGAGAAACTCAAAATTTTGTCACTGAAATGAAATGATATGATAATTCCAATCAGCAGAGTCTGTTCATTAGAGCAGATATTTTATTATAGAAACAAAATAGTCTTCGTTTATTTAACCAATTCCTGCTGTTGATTTAAATCATTAATGAGTTACATCAAATGAATTTCGAATTGAAAACTTTTTTTTCTGTGTACCATAGTTATCAGTAGAATCTCTCCAGTAAGCAAGAAAATAACCGGAAATAGTAACTTATGTTACAAGTCTGATATGTAGCAATTACCGGATGAGGTTGTCCGAGGCGTAGCCGAGGATTATAACAATCGAATCTGTTCTTTGCATATCGGCCGTGTTTCGTTCAAGACTTTATTCTTAATTCCGCTGAAAGATTTCATTTTCCTCCCAAGGAAAGAACAAACCACGTACCTCATAATTCTCCAAAAAATTCCAACATCGTATTGTCATGAGGCAGCTTAACAATATCACAATAATATTATGAGAGCAGCCTGCCGTTGAACAATCTCAACGGACGGAGGCTGGTAACACTAATTTTCCAATTGTGAATACCGTTAAATCAAAATAACATTATGGATTTACGAAAAATTATTTTATGATGATTGGCACCACCTAGAGAAAGAGTTGGTTGATAGACAGGGTGTTTAATTCTGATTCTAATCGGTACAATCTGATAGGCGAAAATCCACTCAACATGAAAATAAATAGTCGTTCAAAAAATCAAAAAACTACTCTTTCACAGATAGCCAAACTGAAAAGAAGGAGAAAAATAAATAATGAAAGTGTGCTCATAAATACAGAACATACAATTAATATACTAATTACGGAGGTGCTGATATTTTCTATGTTGTGTATTTACAGACACACTTTTCTTATTTCATTTTGTACTTCTTTTTAGTTTGGCAATCTCACAAAGCGTGTTTCGAAATTTTGGTGGAAGAACAGTATTCGAAGTAAACATTTGAAATTTTGGTGAAGGAACATTTTGAAATATTGGTGAAAGATCATTTTCACCATTTTATTCGAGAATAAAATATCGCCCATCCTGAAGCTCCTGATCACGATTATGCAACAAAACTTAAATTTTGCTATCGGCATCGGTTAATAAATTCACTTAAAAACGAACATTTTGAAATTTTGGTGAAACAACATTATTCTCCATTTTATTCGAGACAAAAAATCGACCATTCTGAAGCTCCTGATAACGACAATGGAACAAAACTAAAATATGCAATTTGCATCGGTTATTGATAAGTGTGCGAAGTTTCAATTCAGTTTTTCGTTTTGAAGTGTGTCAAAAGTCACAAGTCTCTCCGGATGTAACTACTCATATAAGAACTTATGATGTGGGAGAATGCTGTGTCTCTGAATATAAAGAAAGCATTGTAAATTTGATTGACGTAAACACGAACATTTGAAGTTTTGGTGAAGGAACATTTTGAAATATTGGTGAATGAACATTATTCACCATTTTATTCGAGAAAAAAGATCGACCTTCCTGAAGCTCTTGATTCGTAGATTCCGCGTTACATACAAATATACACAAGCTTTCATAATACTGAAATTCAAATGTATTCGGTGACTAACGAACTCTCAAAACGTCCAAATTATATCTACTTATTATGAATCTTCGGTCCATATTGCTCAAAGTTGAGTGGAATAATTGTCAAAGGAAGGAACAAAAGCTCACACATACACATCTCCACACAATTTAATGATGTTTTCGAAAAATCAGGGGCAGGTTTTGGTCTCTGAAACGACCATCTGCAGCCTAATTGGGAGTTCTACTCATATAGGCCTTCGAGTGCTCTCAATGGGCGCCTTGAATGAACCTACATTAGAACTTAGACTCATATCAGGTCTTCATGCATTCTCTTTCTTGAAAACTAAGTGAGAGAACAGAAAACTCATGGAACGAGAAAATTGTATCTTCCATTGTTGAATCGAATGTTAAATCGAGAATATCAAACTAATGAAAAAAATGACGGAGCCCAATGACTTTTACTATGAATATAAATGAGGTAAATCGTCTGGAGTGCCACTGGAATAGTTACGGTGAATATAGTACTTACGCCGAAAGATACATTTTCAAACTACAAACAACCCTCTGCTGAGTTCAACTAAAATTAGCCAAGGAGTTATTTAGCAGTGATAACTATTTTTAGTTGAAAGCTATGTTGATGCAATGTTGAAGCAATTACTGCAACGGACGTTCAGCAATATTGCATATGTGATGTTTGTAATGTAATGTAGCGTTGCAGCAATATTACATGTTGCTGTGACATTGCTGGATCGTAACATTTACAAATTTTTACATTCGCAATATTGCTGAACGTTCGTTTCAGTAATTGCGACAACCTTACATCAACATAGCTTCCAAATTTGCTTAGTGGAAACTTTTTTCCAGTTACAGCATCATGGAAAGAACCTCAACCGGGTTGGGTGGACAGTGTGAGTGGAATAACTGGAATATTCATGGAAGTTGGGAGGGGCACCATCAAATCTATAATTTGCAAGGAAAATATGAAAATGGACATCATACCAGTGGATACTGTCATCAACACAGTATTAACGGCAGCTTGGCATACTGTTGCATACAGGTCAGTAGGTATTTCATACATCAAGGTGATGATTCATTGGGAAATGTGCATACAGTAAGGGTAGATGGATGATGAAAAAATCGATATTCTAGGTGCGGCCTTGAGAAGAATAATAAGTAAATTCTGAGTCGAAAGAACTAATATGACTAATACATAGAATGGGTTTTTATGATTTTACTCATTTGGAAGTGTAACACCCTTACCTTATGCGCATTACCCAATGAATCAAACTGTACAAAAAACATGGAAATCCTCCTTCCTCAAAGTGTTCCTTTCGGAACAGGTAGCCTGCTCAAAATATCTAACCATTTATAATCTCAATTTGTTCCAGATCGAACACAATGAGGGTTTACAACTGTACGAGCGGTAACACGAATCCCATCACTTGGAAGGAATTCAGACTGTTGACTGAGAAATATTCCAAAGAGTATCCCAGCAAATACGTCACTTGGTATCCGGGCATCACTTACAGAACGAACAGAGCCTTGCACGCAGTCTGCGTCAATTTGTTCCATCACATACCAGCAGCCATTCTGGACGTGTTTCTTTTCATGACGAAACGGAAGCCATTGTGAGTATATCATTCGAGAAAGCGATTTGAGTATGATGTATATTCAGTCCGAATAAGACCACAAATCAGAAATCTAATCTATACCAATATTATAAAGAGGAAAGATTTGATTGTTTGTTTGTTTGTATGTATGGAATAGGCTCGGAAACTACTGGATCGATTTGGCTGAAAATTGGTGGGGAGGTAGCTTAGAACCAGGAGAAGGTTATAGGATACTTTTTATGCCGGTACCAAATGGAGGATTTAATATATCTGACGAGTTTTGTAATTATAGTCCGATTCTATTCAAGATTGGTATCTGGGGGTTTTCGAGGGGTCGGAGATTGTATGATTATTTCGTCAGAATTAAAAAATTTTGGCAGAATTTGAAAATTTACGGTGGCGGAACCAATATATATGGCGGACGAGTTTTGTAATTATAATCAGATTTTTTTCAAAATTGGTACGTGGGGGGTTTCGTGATCAGGGATTATGTTTCCTTCATCCAAATTGAGAAATTCAAGATGGCGGATCCAAAATGGCGGAGTTTGTATTTAGGATCCGATTTTATTCAAATTTGGTATCTGCTGGTTCTCGGGGTCGGAGATTATGATTCTTTCGTCATAATTAGGAAATTCAAGATGGCGGACCCAATATGACGGACAAGTATTGTAATTATTATCCGACTCTCTTCAAAATTGTTATCTGTTTTCGGGGTCGGAGATTATGATTCTTTTGTCAAAATTTGGAAAGGGCGGGATTTGGAAATTCAAGACGGTAGAACCAATATACCGGACGAGTTTTGTAATTACATACCGATTCCATTCAAAATTTGTGAGTGGGCGTTTTCAGGATCAAAAATTATGATTCCTTCGTCAAAATTAGGGAATTCAAGATGGTAGATCCAATATTGCGGACGAGTTTTGTAATTATGTTCCGATTCTATTCGAAATTTTGATCTGGGGTTTAAGGAGTTGATTCTTTCGTCAAAATTTGGAAAATCAGGTGAACTAAAAAGAAGTTGGAATAAATGGTAGTTTGAAACACTGAAGAAACACGTTTTGATAGATAGCGGAACTCAAAAGAAATGAAAAATAAAATAATAATAGTATCTTGATGAATATTGAACTGCATGAAAACACACTCAGTTCCAAAAAAAGTGACGCACTTGATATTTGACCTATCTTCTTGAAAAAAAAATAGTAGGCCGATTTTTTTTTTATTTATTGGTAGGTAATGCATTTGTCTTTAAAAAAAAAGAGGTGAAAATTTTTTCAAAGCCTCCTTGATGGTGGTGGAATAACTCGAACCATGATTTATTCTTAATTTTTGACTCACCCTGTGTGTTAATTCTTACACCCTATACGAAAGAGGCTTCTTTTGTTTTTTTATTCATTGATTTATCTCTAAAATTTTCCGAATCAGTTTTTTTGATGAATCCTTGCAGATTACCAACTTTCTGAATTTATCGAGAAACAATTTTCTAGTGAAATAAACTGATACCAATAATTTAAAAAACATTTTTATTGAACACAAAATTATAAATTGGGATGACTGCTGATACCGTGTATTGCCTCTTCTAGCAACTCTAAGAACTTCTAATCTACGAGGCATACTGGAAATTAAGTTGCTTATCGTTTCCATTGGTATACGATCCCAACGCACCCTTCTCCTAATTCATTCCACAAATGTTCTATAGAATTCATATCGGGGCTTCTCGCAGGCCATTGTAATGTGGTAATACCAGTAGCTTTTAAGAAGTTTCGCACTATTGCTGCGGTGTGTGGTCGGGCATTATTCTGCATCAATATAAAATTATTGCCCACTAACTCTGCATAAGGTAAGACATACTGCTCTGAAATGTCAATGTAAATTTGGGCATTCATCGACTGCCTCACCGGAAAAACATGAAGGGGTGTCTTTCCATTCATTGAAATCCCTCCCCACACCATATAACGGACCCACCATTAAAACTTTCGCATTCTGTTATTAAATTTTGACTAAACCGTTCACCAGTTCTTCCCCACACTCTTTTTCTTCCATCCACCATGTTAAGACAAAACCATGACTCATCCGTAAACAAGACATTCGACCATTCAGGAATATACCACTGTCCATAATTTTCAACAAAATTTCTTCTAGCAGCACGATGTTCGGGCAATAATTTGGGACCTTTTGCAGGTCTCCTAGCTTTTAAATTAAATTCTTTTAGACGTCTACATACCGTCTGCTTACTTACTGCAACATCACGAATTTGGCGAAGATCTTGCTAAACATTAACCGCAGTATTTGATCGTTTCCGTAAAATCAGCAATCTCAAGAAGCGATCGTCTCTTGGAGAAGTTTTTCGGGGGCGACCAGAACCGACCCTCTGAGCGGTGCTTCCTGTTTGTTCGTACTTGCGGATTGCTCTACGAGCAGTTGCTTCATAAATTCCCACTGCACGAGCGGCGTAACGTTTACTACGCAAATCGTTTACTAACGCAACTAATCTTGCTACTTGTTCAGGATTTATTTGAGGCATTTTATGTAATTTTAGTCTATAAAACAAGACAATGACACAACGACAAATGGTCAAATATGGAGGCATACAACAAATTAGTTGCTATGGCAACGGCATTTGTTTTTTTAAAGACAATATGTGATCCAACCAGAGAACAACCCAATCAATTTTGAGTACTCTGATTCTTCAATAAATTTAATTTGTGGGATAAGCGTAAGGTGTCAGCGAAAAAGCTGTAAGTCGGAAAATTTCAGAGATAAATCAATAAATAAAAAAACAAAATGCTCGCAAAAGAAACATCTTTCGTATTGGGTGTAAGCACTTTAATTGTATACCATTACTCAATTAACGCACAGGGTGAGTCAAAAATTAAGAATAAATCATGGTTCGAGTTATTATCCACCACCATCAAGGAGGCTTCGAACAAATGTTGACCTCTTTATTTTTTTCAAAGACAAATGCATCACCTACCAACAAATAAAAAAATATCGGAATACTATTTTTTGTTTTTTTTTAAGAGAGTATATATTATAGAAATAATGTATATAGCAGAACAACGGTTGCGAGGTAAGCTAGTATTTTATATATTCCCTAACAACACACAAGTACCTACGTCCCTTGTACGTCCTAGGGACTTCCTCCATTTTCTACGAGGACGTCCCTGGGATATTCTGTGTCGGGACATATGGTACATAAGGACGTCCCAGGAACATCCGCTTCCCAGAAGAAGACGGATCCTAGGAATGTCCTGCTAGTACGTTCCTGGGATGTATATACCAAGAATCTTGTGTCGGGACATGGGTACATTCTTGGGACGCCCCAGGGACATCCGCTTTCCAAACGAAAAGGCATCCTGCTAGTACGTCCCTAGGATGTACCAAGTACGAAGAAATACCGAAAGGTACAAGAAATTAACGTTAACAAACCTCCCCGGGATGTTCCTTGTTCATTGGGATGCTTCCCGGAAACTATATGGAAGCTGCAACTAAGTTCATAATTTGATAATTGTTTGTATCCACCGCCTCAAAATTTACAAAAGTACTTTTCATATAGATACTCCCAACGAATAAACTGATATTTATTGTCCAAAGTCATCCACAGTACATATATTACCCAGACAGCACAAAATATTCTATTAATATCCTGACAACGTTAAAATATTCTTATTCTAGATTATTCTTATAGAATGTTCTCAGAATGATCATAAAATAATCTCATCCTGCAGCGAATATTCTATGGACATTCATCTTGACATATTATCAGAATATTATTTTTGAATGTTGTGGGAATATTTTTTTGGAATATTCTGAGAATATTCAGAATTGTATCAAAATAAATAATATTGATGTTCCTATTCTTATATCAATATTTATAATGTTAACCCTGATAAAAACTATTATATTCTCTAGCCTCAATTCAGTGTAGTCATCCTGTCTTTCATTTTATAGTAGGGGAGATTTTTTGGGGGTAGATAGGGATTTACTCGAGCGTAGTGGGGACGTATGAGATTGTGGAGATTAGATGCGGAAATGAAAAAATGTTGATATGATATATGACCTTTTACTGATGGTGGGAAGAGCGTCTACAGGTGTTCAAAAATGTAAAAAAAAACAGTCACATATAGAAATACTCGAGCGCATCAGATATTAATAGTATATGCGCCCCACGTGTTTCTGATAACCGAAAAAGGAATCAACTTAATATGACGGTTGGTTTTTTTGTTAACTGAATGTAATAACTAAAATATAAAATATACAGGATGGGTCAGTTTTCTTAAGCAAGACATCAACCGCTCGAAAAATTCACAATTTTGAGATGGAATAAGACTCATGTAGACATACACGGTGGACCAATAGTGTGGCAAAGTGAGATAGCGGCTTTGCTGTTTAAGATAGATGAACAAAAATTCTCATGAGCAGCAGTACATTTCTGAAATATTTTGCGTTACACAGGGTTACTCAAAAATGCGTGGCGTGTCAAACTTATATACTTTTTCTTATAGCACATTTTGTATTTTATTGCATTTTCAGATTCCTCCTTATGAGCTGCCAAGGTTCAGCATTGATAACAATATACGAAGTGATACTTTTTTTCTTCAGTTTTCTACGTTACCACAATCACATATACATATATAGTTCCCAGTGGCTGCTAGCACCACACTTAATTCATTATTTTCGCTACTTCGGCTTGGACAAATCGGCAGATTATGTGATTTCCGTGATCCGTGACTGATTGCCTTCAAAATAAGCAAAAAAAAATGACCGCGCTCGAGAATGTACAGGGTGATTCACCATACATGTCCCCCCCTCTAGCTCAGTTATTTTTGAACCGATTTCAAAATTTGAAATATCATCTTAAATGATTTTCGATAAAGTTTTTTTTCTCTACTTCAGAAAATACAGGGTGCTCGGAACAAACGATCTACAGGGTATTATTTGATTTTTTTATATGGAACACCCTATATTTCATTGTATTTTTAGAATCTCCCTGAAGAGCTGATTTGATCAATGCATCACACTTGGGGTCTAGCGGGAATGATTACAGAGATATATGAGGTGTTCAAAATCGAGATTTTTCAACCTTAGGATTTTTTTGAGACGAAACTATTCATTATCGGTCAAAACGGCTTTCATGTCCGTGTCTTAACTTTTGATTTACTCATTTACTAATTTTACTATCTACTGAGATTCAATAATTGGAACAGATAGAGGGTGATCAGAATTCTGGATCTTGAACCAACCTGTAAATGTATTAATTAAATTTCAGTAGACAGTATATCATAAGTTAAGATGGGGACATAGAAGCCGTTTTGACCAATAATGAATAGTTTCGACACAAAAAAATCCTTAAGTTGAAAAATCTCGATTTTGAACACCCTTTATCTCTGTAATCGTTCCCGCTAGACCCCAAGTGTGATGTATTGATGGAATCAGCTCTTCAGGAAGAATATGAAAATACAATGAAATACAGGGTGTTCCATTTGAAAACATCAAGTAGTACTCTGTAGATCGTTTGTTCCGAGCATCCTGTATTTTCTGATGCAACGGGGAAAAAATTATGAAAAATCATTTTAGATTATTTTTAAAATTTTTAAATTGGTTCAAAAATAAGTGATCTAGAGGGGGGGACATTTATGGTGAATCACCCTGTACAGGAGACGATTTTTTTTGCAACTTTGTGGCTCTCCCATTCCCTTATGTCACGCTCGAATCGTCAGATTGTTAAAATGCACACTTTTCTGCATATAATTATAACGTACTGACGATCGCTCTTTTTTTTTTACTAATCTGATCGGCTTTTAATAAGGTTTGTGGCGGAGATAGTAGGTTTGCATCTCCACCGGAGCAAGCTGTTTTCAATTTCAAAACAGTCCATTATTCCGAATGTTCATAAAACATCCCTAGAATATTCGTATCGCATTGTGAGAATATTCTGAAAATATTCAAATAGTCTCGCAGAATATCCTATGAACGTTCTATGAATGACATTGTGCTATCTGGGTACTTTTAACCTGGCTATTCAGATTTCCGATGATTTCAGCATGCTGAAGATGAGTCGGAAATTCGAAGAGGCGATCATGGCAGGCAAATTCTTCTCGACGAACCAGTGGAACTTCGAAGTGACCTCGATGCGCTCGTTGACGAAGGCCGTCCAAATGGCCAACGATGGCGAACACTTCGATGTCGACATAAGCGAAAATAACGGATTCAAATGGGACGATTATGTCAAGAATTTCATATTGGGCGTCAGGCAGTTCATTCTCAAAGACGATCTGAGCAGTCTGAACCAAGCGAGATCCAAACTAAATAGGCAAGTAAAAACTAGAAACTAGAGAGTGCTTCAATCACTTTTGTTTCGACTATTTTGTATTCGCTGTAGTCAAGGTCATCATCTGACGTTGCGATGACATGAAAACATATGAAAACTACGGGGAAGACATTCCTAAGTCCTGGCTTCAGATCGGATGTTCGACATGTTTTCCCGCGTAGTTTTAGGGTGAAGCCGACCCGGCACACGAGCTGTCGCGTCTTTGTGGCAAAAAACAAACGCAACATTTGGCAGCGCTGCTGTCGCGCGTACGGTCGTCTGGATGATATGCCGAACGCGTTTTTATTGCTTTGAGCGGCTACTCATCAGACTGTTTTGTCAAGTGCGATTATTGAACACACGAGGAGCGGTTTTTGAGCGGTGCAATACAAACATTGTTGTCAAGTTGACTGATCCATGATGGCTCTCATTGATTGTGAAAAATTAATTCAATGCAAAATACCACATCGCGGCATCGTGTGAAAATACACAAACGGAAAGTCACAGTGGTTCCACAAATTGAAAGAAAAGGAGAATCCTATTAGTTGACGCAAAAATAATTTTGGCACTCGACAGAAACGCAGCTCTATTCGAAAAAAAAAAAAGAGAAATTGAAAATCTTCCAGAAGACGATGATAAGGTATTTCTTTTGTCACTCTTGCCTCAGCTGAAGTCGGTTCCAACGCATTAGAAACTGCCTGTGAGAATAAAAATAATGCAATCCATTAATAAATATATAATCCAACCCCAAGTCGCAGTATCTGTTCCAAACATGCAATACCAATATTCTGGTGAAATACTTCCCCTCATTGCCGTATTCTGCTTAGTTATTTGATTCTTTATCAGAGTCAGAAGTTCATAAAACGAATCTTTTGACATTGGTATACAGAATTGAAGAGTTTTTCGTCATCTCTTTTGATCTCATCATTAGATACGATAAAGTATAAATCAAACTTTTCTCAGTTCGTTCCTCGACAATTGGGTGTACCCACATATAGACTAGACAAATTTTTGGGATATTGAACTTTAAGAAGCATTTCGTATTACTTTTTGGTAAAGGGTGTTTTTCTACTATTTCGACCCTGCTGAATTCGAAAATGCCGGTTGCCAAAGTGAAATCGCAACCGGAAGTGAGATTTTCAAGATGGCGTCCGAAATGGCATCAAAACAGAATTTGGCTGCTAAATCTCCATTGTTTGAGGTAGGAACGCGACCAAAGGGCCTCTTTATATGTTTTCAGACATGAAGAAAACAAAAACACACAAACTAAACTCGTTCGTTGAATATAATTTCTAAAAAATATGACAAAAGCGGTCAAAGTTGCCCTTCTTGGTTTTTAGCAAACAATATACTTTGACTAATGTATTATATCGTTCTATGCACATTCGAGACATTTAATGTAACACTTAAAACAAAAGGTTTTTCTTTAGAAAGAAGTGAAATTATTGTGTGTCTCCAGAGTTCAGGCAAGAACGTTTACAGGGAGTGCACAGTTTGATGCAAGAGACATTGGCTTTTCTACAACTGCAATTTTTTGTATTACAATGTCCTTTGCAATGACAGACAACTATTTCTGGGCACGTCTTAGGAATGGGATCCAGTGTTATTAAACGAGGAACAACTTGTTCTCTCTGCACAATCCAGCCACAGTCCTGCAGCCTAGGTAGTGACGGTTTGGGGATATGCGCATTCTCCCAAACACACACCTGAGATGAAAAAATATATATATTATATTCATTTCGTTTTCATTTCTGTCAATTTGCGTTTAAGGTACGCTTACCTGGTAGTTGCATCTCTTAATATGGAGACGAAGTGCATCAGTTGTCGGTGGGAGAAATTCTGGCTTTTTTACAGCTCCAAATAAATAACTTCGGGCATCGTTTGAGCATGTGATGCTGGAATCAACCTGTATGAAATCAGAATTTCTGTGTGTACTTCATTTTAATTCAATATCATCTGGAAGATATTTAAGTGTAAGCATTTTTACCTTATACAGTTTGACGACAAATTTCTCGACATTGCTAAGGACGTCCTCCTCAAGTGGCGACTGTCCGAGGCGTCCCAGAAGCTCGCAGTTTGTCCCAGAAAAAGCCTTCCATGCTCCAACTTTCGTGATAGACGCCAACTTAGACGTCGAATCGCAGCCGGTTATTGCATGGAAAGCAAGAAGATGGGAGACTTGTTCCGGCATAAGCTTTCTGCATATATCATGTACAGGAATGTACTTGGTGTCACGTGCAGTGCCACTCATTACCCACAAATGGGAGCATTTCATTTTAGCGAAGTGGTAGATAAGAAGAAGAACAACGTCGGTGTCCCTCGTCATCACAACAACGTTATGAGCTGTGGTGTGAACGGCATGAAGAACCATGCGCGTGTCAGCTTCCTCGTGTGATGATTTCAGGCAATCAACATTTCGACGCAAATTCGTGGACTGAGCATGTTCTTCCTCAGTGAAGCCGCCGGAGATAACTACTTCAAGGTCGCCAAAGTTATGTTGCATAATTCTCTCGGACAAAAACCTGCATAAATCAGTTTTGTTTTCTGATAAAAACAAGAAGTTACTCCAGTTCTTTGGCAGCGGCACGTTGCAGTCCTCAATGTCTCTGCGCACGAAAGTTGGAGCATGGAAGGTTTTTTCTGGGACAAACTGCGAGCTTCTGGGACGCCTCGGACAGTCGCCACTTGAGGAGGACGTCCTTAGCAATAGCGAGAAATTTGTCGTCGAACTGTATAAGGTAAAAATGAAGTACACACAGAAATTCTGATTGCATACAGGTTGATTCCAGCATCACATGCTCAAACGATGCCCGAAGTTATTTATTTGGAGCTGTAAGAAAGCCAGAATTTCTCCCACCGACAACTGATGCACTTCGTCTCCCTGTAAACGTTCTTGCCTGAACTCTGGAGACACACAATAATTTCACTTATTTCTAAAGAAATACCTTTTGTTTTAAGTGTTACATTAAATGTCTCAAATGTGCATAGAACGATATAATACATTAGTCAAAGTATATTGTTTGCTAAAAACCAAAAAGGGCAACTTTGGCCGCTTTTGTCATATTTTTTAGAAATTATATTCAACGAACGAGTTCAGTTTGTGTGTTTTTGTTTTCTTCATGTCTGAAAACATATAAAGAGACCCTTCGGTCGCGTTCCTACCTCAAACAAGGGAGATTTAGCAGCAAAATTCTGTTTTGATGCCATTTCAGACGCCATCTTGAATATCTCACTTCCGGTTGCGATTTCGCTTTGGCAACCGGCATTTTCGTAATCAGCAGGGTCGAAATAGTAGAAAAACACCCTTTGCCAAAAAGTAATACGAAATGCTTCTAAAATTTTAATGGAGGCCTTTTTTGGATTTTTCGACTAGACTAATACGCCTGTTCCTTTTTTTCTCCGAACGACAATAATTTTAGTCCCACTTATGTTAAGAATTCCTCCTCAGAATCATGCAGACTCCATACCGTTCGGACACTATTGCGAATTTGAACAGGAACTGACAACACCACATTGTATTCGTATTGCGTGTCGCATCAGCAACACCCCGTGTGTCTTCATGCATTCGGCTGCCGAGTCGGCGAAAACCGCTCCGTGTGTCTTCACCATGTAATCGCAACGTCAAATGAATACCTTGATTACACATTTACACCGCGAATACAGGGTGAGTAATGAGGAACTGTACATTCTCCTGCCATGAATAGAGGAGAATACCTATCTAATGAATATCACGAAGTGTTTTCTACTTTAATATACAGGGTGTTAGTTTTTCGAGCTGCACCATGGGGATCTCGTTTATTATAAGAGATACGAGGTCGGTTAAATTACGGCAAATTTGTAAGAAAATTCGATGTGTCAATCTTAATTTTTGAATCATTGGAAGAAAACGAAAATTTATAATTTTCGTTTCTATTTTTTCAAGCGGAAACCGAAAGACCTAGACGTTTCTGACTGGGATATTCTTGATGCACTTTTTTACAAGGAATCCGAATATGTCGTTCTTTATGCCAAAGTTACAACACACAACTTTGTTTTTTTCTTATGGGCGTCGTATTGGATTTTAGCCTTTTTGGAAGTTTATTTTTTCTGATAACAATGATGAAACACACGATATGATCAAATCTTTCCTATTGATCGAAATTGGAAAAACACATTTTTGCGAAGAGTACTTTGGAAAGAACGCCAACAGTTTGGTTTGAAAAGCTGAATTTCGACAGTTTTTTTGAATTTGGATCTGGAAAGTTCACTTTTTCGTCAAGCGCATCTTCTTAAAAACTATGGTTTTGAATTAGGAACGACGTATAATAAGCTAGAAGTTTATTCTTCGCAAAACAAAAGGAAACAAAGTTATAAAAGATGCTCGAATACTCCATTTTCCACCACTTCCAAACACGCGTTTCTTCAGATTCTGAATTGCTCGCGAGATGTCCCGTCTGCTTATCTTGTCCTGAAAGTGATGATTATGGTTCTTCTCAGGTAATCAATATCGATCGGTACAGTTTTGAAAATCTATACTTTTATAGTTCCTTTCATGTTCGAGCTATAAAACAATCAAATAATTTAAGTAAACATCAGTTGAAAAAAGTCAAAATTGTTGGGATCCTGTTACAAGGCATTACAACACCTGAGTAAGTGTATAAAACTCAGCAGACTGTTTTCGTGTGATGATATAAAGAAACAACAAAGTAGCCCAGTTCCATTGAGATTTGACCTTTGGACCACAACAAATCCCGTACCTTGCGGTAGGACGACCCCGCAACGTTGCCAGATCGCATATAAAATATGGAAATATTGCATGAAGAAGTGCTGGCTAGCAAACAAGAAATCAAAAACGCAATTGAAGCAAGTGAAGTTAGATTGCTCTTAAAAATAGAATCATTTAGTGAAAAAATAAGGAAGCTAGAAAAAGAAAATACAGAGCTAAAACAACAGATCGAGCTATTGGACAGGAACAGCAGGAAAAATAACCTAGTAGTGTTTGGATTGATGAGAAGCGAAGAGGAATCCTCTGTAGAAAATGTATGTAACCAATTAAACTCCAAACTTGATGTCGATATAACAAGAGCTGATATAAATAACATCTATCCACTCGGTAAGTCTAAAGATTGCCCAATCAAAATTGAACTTCTATCAACCCTCACAAAAATCAATATACTACGAAATTGCAAAAAACTTAAAGGTACAAACATATCTATCTCAGCCGACTTAACAAAAAAACAACAGGAATCAAATAAGATATTGAGAAAATACCTAAAGAAAATACGAGAAAGTGGTGAAGAAGGCAGCTTCATAAGAGGAGAAAAACTCTATAGAAACAATATAGGATACACAGCGGAAGAGATATTGGTTTTTGAAAAAAGTATTGAATCAACAGATTTCCCAAAACCCACTAGCGCACCAGAAACCCCTTCGAAGCCGCTCGCAGAAAGAACTAAGAAAGAAAAAAGCGAATCAGATAAATCTACAAAGAAGACAGAAGAGGAAACAAAAGAGGAGAAAAAGAAAAACACAACTACCAGAAATATTGAGAGCAGTTTCACACAAAGCAGGCCGGAGACCAGAGAAAGAAAAAACTCAGCAAAAGAGATCAAAACGAGGTCTACACAGAGAAACGCAACGTAGGTTACGCAATATTATTCACTATTTTCTAGGAACATAACTCCAAAATAAGTATAAAAAAAAAAAAAATCTGTCCTTTTCTACCTTCCTTTCCCCGCACTAAATATAGTAATTATGGATCCTTATATTAATAATTTCAAACTGCCAAAGATTGAAACTGAAATAGCACAAAATACAACCGAGTATAACATACTAGTAAAAAAACAACCTAAACGAAACCTTCGAATATTCCACACTAACATCCGTAGTGTCGTTAAAAATATAAATGAACTAAAAGTAACTTTACATGAATATGAAGATGAGTTCGATGTCATAGTTCTCAGTGAAACATGGAAAATCTCTGACTTTTTCTCATTAGACCTAGCAGGTTACGATTTGGTATATAACAGAGGTATAGTGAATCAAAATGATGGAGTATTGATATACATAAAAAATCAATACGAGTATTCCTATGAAGTGATCGATCTGGATAAAATAAAAATAATTGAATTAAAGTTAAAATATAATGAGTATAATATTGACATAACCGCAATATACAGGCCACCTTCTACGTGTCCTCTGAGGTTCAATAGTAGTCTCGCAAAACACCTGGAAACGAGAAGAACCTGCAAATCTGATTTCAAAATAATAATAGGAGATATAAATATTAACATCCTGGATAATAGTGACATAAGCGAGGAATATCTTAATATTCTGAGCGAATGGGGCTACATCTCGACCATTAACACGCACACTAGGATCCTAGGCAGAGCACGGTCTTGCCTGGATCACATATTCGTGAAGACAGACTCTCCTTATGAGTGGCTGAGACCATTCGTCGTCAAATCGTGCATCAGCGACCATTTTCCAGTAATCCTACAAATTAAATATATAGATGATAGAAAACAGGAACAAAAAATTCAGAACGAAAAATACAAACTGTACATTGATAAAACAAAGCTACGGGACCACCTGACAAGAGAAACATGGAACAATATATACTTAGAAGATGACGTGAACATAATGACAAGCAACTTTATACAAACTCTGAAACAAAAAAGTGAACTCGCCACGCATAAAATCGCAATAAAAAGAAAAAACATCAAAAGGAAAGAATGGATCACTGACGGACTTGTGAATTCAATCAATACAAAAAATGATTTATATAGAAAACTGCAGGACGAACCGGAAAACGAAAACATTAGAATTGAATTCAAAAAGTATAGAAATAAGTTAAATCAACTAATACAAGACTCAAAGATTAAATTTCTGGAAAAAAAGGTTAATCAAAATAAAAACAATCCAAGCGGGTTATGGAAAAGTCTTAAAATTATAAACGGTAAACAAGATCACAGTGAACTAAAATCCATTACAACAGAAGACGGAAACGACCTTACAGACAAAAAAGAAATCGCGGAACACTTTGCCGATCATTACGCTACAATTGGTAAAAAACTCGCAGAAAAAATTACCCCGGCATTGTCAATGAATAAACAAACAACTCGAATAAGTAATTCAATATTCATAGAACCCGCAACAGTCAAGGAAATCAAACAAATTATTCTATCCCTCAAAACAGGTAAAGCTCCCGGACTGGATAACATAAAATCTGAGATATTAAGAGATCACTCAGATCTCATTTCAGCTCCTCTAACCTACATTATAAACAAAGCCATCGACACTGGCACATTTCCAAGTATATTAAAAAATGCATCAATAAAACCTATATACAAAGCAGGAAACAAAAAACTGGTAATAAATTACAGGCCAATTTCTTTAATAAATAGCGTGGCGAAGGTCTTTGAAAAATTTCTGAAACTACGTTTTGAAAGCTTCTTCAAGAAATACAACGTCATGTCTGAAAAACAATACGGCTTCAAGGAATCCAAATCAACTGAAGACGCAATGATGGACCTGACAGAAAAAATCTATAATGCTATGGATAAAAGTAAACCATGTCTCTGCATCTTCGTTGATTTGGCCAAGGCCTTTGACACGGTGAACCATAGAGAGCTTCTTCGAACACTTGAAGCTGTAGGTTTCCGGGGAACGTCACTCAAACTAATGGAAAGCTACCTTAGTGAAAGAAAACAGGTGGTCAACATTGATGGCACGATAAGTTCAGAAAAAACACTGGAATACGGCGTACCACAAGGTACTGTGTTGGGGCCTATACTATTCAATGTATACATCAATGAACTATTCCAAACAACAACACAAGGCAGCATCATCAGCTTCGCTGATGATACTGCGATTCTATACGAAGATTCAACCTGGCATACCCTAAAAAATAAAGTAGAAAAAGACTTTATGAATGTAATGAACTTCTTTCAAAACCGACTACTTACCATAAATTACCAGAAAACCTTTTTTATACCTTTCACTTGCTACAGCGACACTCTCCCAAACTACAGCCAACTGGAATTCAATAACGGCCTCATAAAGATCCCCTCAGCTTCCCATATTAAATACTTAGGAGTAATTATAGATTGCCACCTCAGATGGAACTACCACTCAGATTATGTATCAAAAAAACTAAAAAGCATGGCCAACAGATTTAAAGTTTACAGAGAAATATTCGACTTGAAATACATGACAATCCTATATAACTCATTAATTCAGACACACATAACATACGGTATAAAGGTCTGGGGAGGAATCGGAGACGTCTACTTAAAACCATTAGAGACATCACAAAAATGGATCTTGAAAATCATACACCGCAAAGATTATAGGTACCCAACTGAATCATTACTCACAGAAGCTAAAGCCTTAGATGCCCGACAACTGTATTACCAATCTTTAATTATCCACCATCATAAAAATAAACACAAATACGAGCACATACACCACAAACATGAAACACGCTTCAAAGCCAAAACAACAATTATACCAAGAGTCAATACTCAAAAATGTCAAAGATCATTTACCTACCTTTGTCCAGCCTTATATGCTGATATACCTGATGACTTACGGAGAATTCAATCGCTAGGCTTGTTGAAAAAAAAAACTAAAAAATTGGCTGCATACTTACCCAAGAGCTGAAATACATCGAGCAATTGATAGGAAAAACTCGAAATGAGATTCACTATGCCTCTTGACTATATTAACTGTATTATTAAACATCGATTATCATATAAATTCTTTTTTTTTTTTTTTTCTCTCTGATATTTACGAACGTATAATTGTCACCATGTTCATGTGTTTACCATACCTAACCACCCCACTGTAAAAACAAAATAAATAAAATATATTATAAAAAATGTAAAATGTATAATGTAAAATGAAAAATGTGAAACGTGAAATGTAAAATGTAATGTAAATGTAAAATGTTGATACCTACGCCCATGCACAAGGGAAACCTTTTTTTGGGCGCTCTGTATTTATTTACCACCATTGTTACCACATTGTTTATTTCATATTGTAATTTTGTATACGGTAAATAAATTGATTGATTGATTGATTGATTGATAGTTCCCAATAAATAATAATCCAGCGAAGAGATCAGAGGTGACCGCGCTGGCCAAACGTATGACTCCGTTGTTGGAAATTACCTTGTCAGGGAACATATCTGACAGACACTCGGCAATCCTTCTTGCGTTATGTGGATAAGCTCAAGAATTCAACAGTTCTGGTCGCATATTCAATTGAACTGTCAAAATTCAGTTTGTTGAACAAAACTGTTGGCGTTCCTTCCAAAGCACTCTTCGCAAATTTTTTTCCCAATATTTATCATCAGGAAAGATTCGATCATATCGTGTGATACATCATTGTAATCACAGAAAAAATACTTTTTAAAAATGCAAAAATCCAATATATGGCGTTGAGTGTTGTAACTTTGGCGTCAAGAACGTCATGAAAAATACAATGACAGATTCAGATTCCTTGTGAAAAAGTGCCTCAAGAATGCCCTAGTCAGAAACGTCTAGGTCTTTCAATTTTCGCTTGAAAAAATAGAAAAAAAAATTACAAATTTTCGTTTTCTTGAAATAATTCAGAAAGTGAAAATCGAATTTTCTTGCAGTTGAATGTCCAGCATGAAAATGTGCAACTTTGCTCTAATTTAACCGACTTCGAATCTCTTATAATAAATGAGATCCTCATGGAGGAGCTCGAAAAACGGGCACTCTATATAGGGGTGCATTATGAGATTTGGCAGAAACATCTTTTGGTCATAACTTTCATAACAGCTTCTTGATTCATCTGATTTTTCATGGAAAATTCTGCTACTTTCTGCTACTACCCTCTAATCGACTGACTTATTCTCAATCGGGAAAATCCAGGGACGATTTGTGAAAAATTCCGCTAGATTAGTTTATATCACAAAGTTCATCCTGTATATTAGGGCCAACGACGGTGAACACTTTCATATACTTGCGTCTGCGGAGTCAGCGTCATAAGATGGAATAATGGTGGGGACTGAATGATAGGACAACGCAAAAAGAAGAAAATAGCATTTATATGAATTCACATGGAAGTGAAAATAGACTATTCTTCAAAAAGAAACCTTTACTCTAGAAAATAATGTTGACAAAACTGTTTCGAAACAGTAAATGCCTACACAGTACTTTTTTCAGAAAGGAAGAAAAATATCCCTCCTGCATGAAAAAAGACAATACTTTTTTCAAACCATCTAACCTTACTCGGCCTAAATGAACCGTCTTCCTAAAAATACAGTACTTTTTTCAGGGAGGAAGAAATATATCCCTCCTGCATAAAAATAGGGACACTAATTTTTCAAACCATCTAACCTGCATCGACCTATAAATGAACCTTCTTCCTAGAAATTATATTTTTCGGAAAGTCACTTGAGAAAAAAGAATTTGAAGAAGCCACCCGTTGCAGGCATTGAACCCGAGTCGCCGGCGTGAGATTCAAACGCACAGTCAACCACGCCACGAGTGGTAGTAACTGTGGTAGAATGAAGAATTTAGTAGCTGTACCCGCACTTTCAGCACTGATTATATTTGTTACCTCCTGTCTGTATATAGGCGCTAGTATTCGAACAAAGTAGCGATAACTCTTTTATATTGGGCGTGAGGCAATTAACTCAATCTGAAAGACGATCTGAGCAGTCTGAACCAAGCTATAGGTCTAAGAAACCCAGGCAGCACAGAATACTCTATAGTTCACAACATACATACTACAAAATATTCCGAATAACGTTCATAGAATATGATGAGGATGTTCTGAATGTTGATAGAATGTTTTACGTACGTTCAGAGATGGACGTACTCAGTACATCCGAATCGTACGTACCCAGTACGTCTAGAAATGGACGTTTTCAGTACGTCTTGTAAGGGTCCCGGACGTTCAGACCTAAATCGGACAAAAAATGAACGTCCCCAGAACGTTCGAGTGCTATATGGGACGTTGAGAATTAAAGACGCATGACTGATCAAGACCAACCATAACTTGAGATCTTCTATTTGTTCACATAGGCCACATCATTTTTTCAAAAAAAATTTCGAAAAAATTGCCTTCAGTGCTATCTGACCGAATTTTGGAATTTTCGATTTTGACAGACCTCATAGTAACTCTAACTGGTAAGGCTGAAAATGTTACACAATTTGTTTTTCATTTCTTGTTCCATTTTTGAAGAGGAATTTTCTGAGAATTAGAAGATTCAGGAAACAACTAATACTTTGATAATATTCGTTAGACTATCATATTGAGGTATTCAATGTTTGTAGATATTTCAATATCACCCTGTATGGCGGCATAGTAATGTATGGATATTCGTAAATCCTTGAACCATATCTATTCAAGTATTAGGAGATAGCAATGATAAGAAGCGAATTTATTAACAACCCGAATATTTTTCTTTTCAGGTTATACTGGTTTCAGAAGATGTTGCATATGATGACATTTTGTGTGGTAACAAAAATGGCCTTATCGGTACTGATGGCCAGTATGAGCAGAAATACACTCGAATTGTAATGTTCTTGAATATCGTCTAATGTTCTTGCCACTCTCAACAATATTAATTTTTTTAAGTCGAATACATAAAATACGTACCTATTGATGTGGAATATAGTTTATGTATCGAGTTTTTATGTGACTTTATATATTTCTTTACAAAATAAAATTATGTATTTATTAATTTTTAATTGAATATAACTATAATTGTGCGATACCCCTGTATCTGTAGAAACGAATAATGCCCAGCTCTGTTGATGAGTATAGTTCAGACCTGCATTTTCCGGGTAAACTTATCTGGAAATACGAAGATGATACTTTTTTCAATGAAGCCAATGCAATTTGAAAAAACACAACATTTTTAATTTTGATGTCTGAGAAAAATCCACCTAGTGAAGTTTATAAAATTTCGCCGATTTTCATTGCGGATATTTTCTCAACAAATCAACAACACGTTCAGCTCTAACAAAACAAAACTAACTGAAAATGCAGAATTTCAATTATCAAATATTAGAATAAAAAATGAAAGATTTAAACAAACTGCCTATACCAAATACCTTGGTATTTGAATTGACGAAAAGTCAACATGGGACAAGCATATTGGCATGCTCAAAGACAAAATTTCTCCCATAGTTGGTACCCTAAGAAGATGTCCAAAACTTATCCCAAATATAGCAAATACTATACTTTCACATCCTTAGTAAAATGAACGTTCTCATAAATATTTGGGGTTCATGTTCCAAGAATAATTTTAACAAAATATCTGTACTATATAAAAAAACATCAACAGTACTGAATCGTCTTCCATATGACACAAATACATATTCTTTGGAAGAACACTATTTGATAAATACTCTCGAAATTTCTTTTGATATTATCAACAAACACCTCAAATCTAACTTAAGGAAAAAATGCGAAATTTCACCATGTTTTGCCACACATTTTGGATATCCATTTACAACTATTTGTCTCACTTTTACCATCATTGGGCACTTTATATACTCACGTTGTACATCAATAACACATTTTTTTTTCTAAAATCAACAAAATGTATCGATTTATTTGTAATTTTTTCATATTTTAGTGAAGTGAAGAATGACACCAGTTGACGGCCATTCAATTATCAAATCCTAATACAAATCACATAACTCAAAATAAAAATACGAGATGTCAAATAAAGGTCGATGTCAAAAAAAATTGCAAGAAAATCGAGAAACCAAACTATTGTTTACCGTTAGATTCGACAAATAATAATATTCTCTACAAGTACTTGTCAAATAATGGTCACCATTTGAAAAATAATACTTACTCCTATCTATCATACTGGTTACTGAAACTTTGTACCTGATGTACATGATGAAAATAGACCGCAAGATCAAGGCCACCTAGATACAATATGAAAAGTGAACCAAAAAAATGAATATTGCGTAAGAACTTTCCAAGATTTCAAATTCTGATCCAAAATTGTCTCAGAAATAAAAAAACTTACAATATACAGAGTGTTCTGTACTGATCCAGGGGTTGAGGGTTAGCCAGTAGGAAAAATTCAAGAAGTCCCAAGAGCAAGATTTATTTGGTCGGTAGGAAGATATGCAGATACGAACGTGATGTTGAGTGTGAGAAACTAAAAGTTTACATATATTAGGAAAGAGTGTCAACTTTCCGGCATGTCATATAATCAATTTTATAAATTAATGTCCACTCAGAAGCACGTGTTGATTTTCACTGATTTAGTTCAACAATGACTAATGACATATGTACTAAAAAAAGAAAAGTAATGTAGTATTTAAAGGAAGGACCTACATGAAAATGTAAAAATTTTTTATTGGTTCAATAAAGATCTCTCTCTCAAAGTAATTTTCAGAACAACTATTATCATCACACCACTTACCTAAAAGTGACCAAACACCAATCTAAAATATATATTTAGCAAATATATATGTAATTGTTGCCAAACTTGTAAACATTTCCTTCCAAATCAATCCATCCTACCAGTTCTGATACCTATGCCCAAAAGAGCTTCAAGGCTTAAAATCATCGTGAGTGTAAAAAGTTATACTTGATAAGGAGCGCGGCAAAAAACGTGCGACGACAAATGCATTGTGGGTTGCCTGACCTCTAGTAGCTATTTTGAAAGAAATAAAATTCTTTATATACAGTATGATGCAAATGTATGGAATAAATTCATTTCAAAACAAGACGAATATCGCAAAAAACCAAAAACTAGAGTTAAGAACTTTTTCTCGACGTATTTTTTTAACTAGACGACCCTTCGATGTTCAATTCTCAGTAGCAGACCTCTGCAAGATTCAATTAATCACATGATAATCCATTTTAATTTCAATCTTCTTATGCAACATTTTGACTGTTGAATAGACGACCGGTAGACCTTTCAATCAAGGTGTCACATGACCCCTATTTGTATTTGAAAAAATCGTTCATTACGTCTTTACTCCAACACCGGTGATGTAACATCTCTCATATGAATATCATGAGATGAGGCTTCAGAAATTAAAACTCACGTGTTTTTGGAATATTTTCAAATGTCGCCCATTTCTGAAATAATGAATTTATTCCATACATTTGCATCATACTATATGTAGCAATCAGGCAGCAGAACATATGCAACCAGTAACACGAGCTGAAGAAAGGACATGAGACATGATTGACACATGACTTTAGGTATCTTCATAATACATATATACGAGGTAGAAAAAAGTGAAAAAACTTGGTCACTCATAATAATTATTGTTATAAGACAAGATATCCATCTTCAATATTTTATATACAGAGTACAGCGGTTTCAGCAGAGTTCCAATCAAAACTTCAAAGCAGGGTCCATTTCCGGTAAAACAGAAGCGACCAGACTGTGAAAAATATGCGAAAAATCTCCTCTTCACGCACCATTTACCATGTACCAAATCTCATTTGGATCCACCTAATATTCTAAAAGTTATGACTTGTCTAAAAGATTGATTGATAACCGGTGTAGCGGTCTAGTTATTAGCTATATCGGTGCATGAGTCCACCCCTCAGGGCGATAACTTCTGATGAGATTATGGTTGATTAAAAAATTAGAAACGACATATTCACAGATTATTTTTCATTATTTATTAACTAATGAACAGAGCTGAAATTAAGATCTTCCCAGAAAAAAATATAAATCAAAATACGGAACAAAACATGATCGACATTCCACGATATACACATTAAAAATAAATGTACAACATAAATCAGCATGATATACATAATAACATAAAAGATAAAAACACCTGTCTTTTTTGATGCGTTAAAAAATAAATTATCTATAAACTAGTAGCCGATATGCTTAAGCAAATTATAAATTATCTATGAATTAGTCCTTCCCATACTAAAAAAACGATGGATCGGGATTTCAACTTTGTGAAAGTTGGAAGTTCCAGATTAGAATATAAATTTTTTTAGTTAGTGAAGCTGAATCATTACAAAGTACATAAAATTTCATATAATAATAAAGTGAATACTCAACACCTGAAATGTGTTATAAACAATGTCAATATGCTATACTACTAACTTAACAGTAGATATGAATAAGATGACGAAAAACAATTATCTTATGCCTTCCTGCATATTTATAAAATAAGTTAACAATGAAAATAATTACAAAATTCCAGACAATGAAATCAATTTTTCATGAAATATGAATGCTATATATTCGTACTATAGAGTTATCAAAAATTCAATAATATTTTATAATCACAATGAAAGAGTTTTCACAGAAAGATAATATCTGGTGAAGAGGTAGAGAAAAATGATAATGTGAAAAAAAAGTCACTGTTTATCTTCTAATAGTAAACATTTTGTATTCAACAATATGTTTTTAATTGATTGCTCGGAGTGGCCAATACTAGATCTGGATATAATTATGATATGAAAGTCAAAATATTACTCAATTTCAAGAGTAAAAATGTGTCTATTTATCCAGTGTTCCATTTTTTGCTCAAAAAACTAGGTGACAGTTGTTTGAAAAATAGTGAAGACCTAGTAGTTTATATATCTCCAAGCAATATACAGTGCGGTCATTTAAGTGTGCAACATATGTGAAGCTTTTTAATGAATTGCACAACCAAAATACAGATAGTGCCGAAAGTTGGTGCATGTTTGGTAATCATTCTAGGTGCACTTAGAATGGTTGCAAGTCAAACAGCATACAGGGTAGGTCAAAAACTTTGAAAATTGCTCAAGAGTAAAGTACCCTTATTTAGGAAAATTTAGTCAAATGTTATTGCGTAAAGTTGTTAACAATTGAAAGTTATACCTAAATTGAAAAGCATGGCCTCCTAAGACATTTTTAAGTTTTTCAATTCTTTCCGTTAATAATTTCTCAATTTGTAATTTTTTTCATACTCACCCTAAACACTTCCATGAGTTAATCATAACAACATCAGTTGAGAATACCTTTGTTCAAATTCGAACATGTTGGTATTCTGGCATAACTTTTGATTGCAAGCAACTTTCCTCATTGACATTTTGCTGAATTTTCTGAAATAAGGGTACTTCTTCACTCTTGAACAATTTTCATATTTTTTGACCTGCCCTTTATGCTGTTTGACTTGCAACCATTTTAAGTGCACCTAAAATGATCACTGAACATGCACCAACTTTTGGTACTATCTGTATTTTGATTGTGCAATTGATTAATAAGATTCCCATTTGTTGCACACTTAAATGACCACACTGTATAGGCTTCTTTTGTTGTTTACATGACAATACTTCATTCTCCCATATTCAAATTTGTATCATTTAAAATTCAGCTTTTTGAAGCAACATCAAAAACTCACTAGGGCAATAAGAATATTTTCATCAATCCATAATAATGCCAGCAACAAATAAATTCTCATCTTGCCAGTTTAATTTCCTGAAATCTTTCAAACATAATTCCCCAGTATATCTTCAGCTTGACACAAATAGTGTTTCTATTAAAAAATAACACTGCTGAAAACCCGACTTCAAGATTCCCTAAAACTGCTTTGAGTAATTGTTAAACTATCAGAGCCACCGAAAGGCTGTGATGG